AGACTAAAAAGGTCGCCCAACAGCTCCAGGTGAGTCCTTAAAATTAAATAAGATAGCTTTCTTGGCTTACCTATAGTTTATAAGACTATTTATATGTATGGCTTATGCAAATCCCTCTTTCAGACCTCCTTTTAATTATCTGGGAACTTTCCGAGTCACCTTCTAATACTTTACGGCTCTTCCTTCTTCTTCAAGCTATCTTCGCTATCGCTTATAGCTAACCTACCGCACCTCCTGCTTAACTTGCTAGTACCAGTTCGTATTCTACAGGCAAGACAGAAGGATTTTATCAAGACTGATTACCCCAGGACCAACCCTCCTTACTAATTAAGGATTATTTGCCGCTTACCCTTGTGAAACCTTGCTTGGGACCGAAAGTATAGCAAGCTGCACCAGGCGACTGACCATCGATATCACAAGTAAGACCATTCCTTTATATTAAAGGCCCCCATCTACCACGAGGTTCCGACATAACCTCAAACCGGCCACATACCGTTTTAGGAACTACCTGCAAATATTTTAATATTAATTCCATAGGACAAGCTAATATTTACCGTATAAAATAGTTAATGAATAGACTTGATATATTTCGGTAGATTTTTATAGTTACGAAAACATCTTTTGTTATTAAGAGTCAGATTAATACTTACGTGGTATAAGTACGGGTTTGTAACGGATAGTACTATTCGGGGACCTCTTTTTACATATACTCACTATTATAATATATATAATTACCGATATATCGGCGTGATAATTTCATATTTTTCCCCATATTTTTTTTTATTGACATAATTTTTTAATTCATCTAACCTCAAAAATTAAATAGCTGTCAGACGAGAATGAGTTTTATTAAGTTCTGACTAAGGACCCGACCCTACTCTCCGGAAATCAAAAAAATTAAGGAGCTAGCAGAAATTACGCTTGGCCCCTTTCATAAGTAAGGGCAGAGCGTAACATGTTGTGCGATATGTATTGGATGGCATTCCTCAAGAGCGATTCTTAGGATTTTTTGACGTCACTAGCGAACGAACTCCAAATGCATTGTTTAAAATTGTTTGTGACATTATTTCAAGTTTAGAATGTGGATCTAAGCTTGTTGCCCAGAGCTACGATGGTGATGCCGTAATGGCTGGCCATTTAGGAGGCCTTCAAGCTAAAGTGAAAGAGAAGTTTAAACATGCAATTTTCATTTACTGTATAGCACATAGACTTAATTTGGTTTTATCGCGAAGCATGGATAATATTAAAGATTGCAAAGTTTTCTTTTCGACGCTTAGTGGTTTGGCTACCTTCTTTTCAAAGTCATCGAAAAGAACTCGCGATTTGGACATTCACGTTCAAAAAAGGTTTCCAAAAGTTGCTCCGACGCGATGGAACTACAATAGACGTTTAGTGTAAACAGTGTTTCAATACCGTGATTCTTTGATACACTTTTTTCAAGACGTTTGGAAAAATAAAGAAACATGGGATGCTGAAACTGTTACTGCTGCTAAAGGGTATTTGAATTGGGTCAAACAAAACTTTGATTTCAATTTTTTGCTCAACATTTTTGCAGAGATTTTCCCTTTTACGGACATTTTATTCGACATTTTACAGACAAAGTTAAATGACATTGGCTTTTGCATTAAACAAATTGATGATTTTAAAAATAAAATGAATAAAAAACGAGATAAGTTTGAACACTTTTGGAATAAGACTTAAAACATTGGCTTAGAACCTGAAAGAAAGAGAATTAGAATTGATACTGTTGGCGAAAGAGAGACCTCCTATCGTCGATTATACACCGAAATGTTTGATAATATTTTACAACGAATGAACTTTCGATTTCAAAACTTTAACGAATTAAAATTTGTTGAATTGTGCAACTTTAATATTGTAACTACGATTCATCAAAATTTCCATCGGAAGTACAATTGAAGTACAATTTTTTGATAATTTTGTACGAATAAAGAGAAGGAAAAAAAAACATGTAATTGCTATTTTTAGCACATTCTGTAGTTTTTTTTTTGGAAAAATGTTATATCAAAACAATGAAAGTGTACCTTCAGCGTTCTTTTAACAGCTTTAAGTCAGCTTTAACTCATATTTTGACCCTCGGACTTCATAGTGTGACGTCCTATGAGATATAGGATATTACAAGTGTAAAAAGTGCACTGTTTCAGTTATGTACATTATTTTTTCCTACAATACCTACATTTACAATCATACATTTTCATTTTATTTCTAAAACAAGTAGTGATCCAGTAAAAATAATGTACAATTCTTCTTCTTTATAAAATTAGAGTAAAGTTTTAATTTAGACGCATATAATATATCTGTATTTGTTGATCATGGCCTACTTTGAAAACATCTTTTGTGGATCACATTTTTCATTACACATTATTTCAAGTAAGTTTTAGAATTTAAAATCATATTTTCCACTCACTGCAACTTTAATAGTACATTATATACCTAGGGTGAGAAGTGAGCTATTATTTACCGAGCACTTTTATATCCTGAGGCGCGTAGCGCCGAGGGATATAATGTGCGAGGTAAATAATAGCTTTCTCAGCCGAGGTATATATAGAATTTTTTTTACTACTAACATTAATGTATTAGCAATTTTAATTTTGACATAAGTAATTTCCTAACAATTTGTTAAATATTTCGAAATATCAAGCAGACTGGAGCGTGTTTCTAATCAGACTGGCTTTATTTATGTAAAAATTTGGCATGTGTCAAATTTTGGTATGATTCTAGGAAATATCCCATTGCATTTTTGATATTTTAATGACATGGATTTATTGTTATTAATTAATAATTTTTAAAGCCGGTGTTGAATTTCCTAGTTAATATATATTTTTACTGTTTACACTGATATATATTATCATATTTGATTTGATTAGATTTGATAAACCCAGCTTTAGTTATTTCCTACTTATTTTTCAAATATTTCAAAATATCAAGTAGTCTGGGAGTTTAGTTGTCAAATTAACAAAATGAAACTAATGAAATTTAGTTTCATTATTTACCTAGGTTTTTTTTTATTATCATTATTTACCTAGGGAGAGAAATATTACTTCTCATTAGAGGAATGGAGTAAATAATGGTGATTTCTCATGTTAGTAGTAAAAAAAATAATTTTAATAAAACTGTTTGTATTTCCAAACAACTTGCACTTGTCTATTATTGGTTTCATATTTTAAAGGCGATAACGTTGACAAAAATAATAAGTAAACAAACATTTTCTGCGTTTTTAGGAAGATAAATAAATGATTTTTAAATAAAATTTTAAAATATAAGAGTTATTTTGATGTAACATCTAATTATGTTCTATTAAAAAAGATTGTAATTTTTTACAATGTTACTTTTAGATTCCAAATCTTCAATCCAAGAAAATCCAATTTTTTGTATTTTTCTCCTGTACTATATACCTACCGGTAAGATATGGGAGTATTGGTAATGTGGCAGACAATGTCGTGTAACTGACTTTGACCTAGTGATCTAAAGAATCGCTTAATTGACGGTTTAATAGAGTGCATTTTCGAGCAACCGAATAAAAATATATTTTTTTTTATTTAGTTTGGTTTGGGCGTATCTTGTAGGTTGAAAAATGATATTATCTTACGATGATTGGTAATCTGATATTATGTAAAGATAATTAATTTGGTGGAACACGTTTTTAAGTAGGATGATTTAGTTAATTTTCAAAATTATTTATTATACAGGAAACTGAAATAAGTTAGATATCATAGGTTTTACAATTTTTTTTACTGAGATACCTCACTTATTTCTACGACCATATTATCATAATGTACAGCTATATTCAATAACTTGGCTTAAGCATTTGACAACGTTTGGCACCCGGACAAGATACAGAAACTACAAAATCACATTTACCGACAGATCGAAGCAAATTAAAAAACATTAAAGGTGTCCCGCAGAGCTATGTGCTGGTACCGGTTCTTTATATTAAAATAGCAATACTGCAACTGTATTAATTCATTAGAAGAAAATCCATATTGTCAGTGAAAAATGCATTAGATTAAAAATGAAGATTAGTCAGTCATCGACAATAGGTCCCTTTATGGGTCAGTTTAAATTAGCCCAATAGAACTGAGATAACGATGATATGGGGCAGTTTGACACTGCAATCTCGTGTCATATACATTTGTTAGCAATTCCGATACCACAAACTTGGACTTATTAATCCAAACCGCGTTTCAACCTTTCGTGATCGATGTCCAGAATCTTCGGTCGGAGTCTTCGCGTTCTGAAATTACTACTGATAATCACCTGCCAGGAAAGTCTCCTACTAAGACAAATTTACCAGTTGAAAAGATCCCCGTGGGTTTACCCGAGATTCCCTTTAGTTTTGTTTAATAATTGTTAAATCATTAACAAGATCGTGATTCAAGAGAAATTCGCGAATAACTTAAATATCATTTATATACAGAGTGTTATTTTAATAACAAATTAACTTAACAATATGATGAATTTGCTATTGATATCACTGAAACAGGTGGTATCCAAAAACTGCAGAATTCAGCTACTGCAGTGCACATCCACTTTCATTTATACGTTTCACTATAAAACGTCAAAATTAGATCGATTAAATCGATTAGATCAAATTACAAATTCATAGACCAAAATAGTTAAAAAATAAAATCTCGGAAAAAAGGATGAGTTGCTCTCTATATCAATAAACAATGTTTGGGATTTACCACAGTAATAATAGAGAGTATTGCCTTTTTGGCAGTACTACTACTCATGTTTTTTTATTATAAATGACAGCTAAATATCTGTTCAAATTGAATACCGTTTGTTTCATTATAATCGAACCAATAATAGCGAATATATACATTATTGCATTTTTTGCAATGCTGCAATATTTAGTAGCAATACTAAAAAAGAAATTACCAAGTAAAACCAAAATTTTAATTTTTTGAACAACTTTTTATTGCTTTGCATATTTTTCATAAATTAATTATTTACAAATCTACAAACATTTTCAAAACCATTTACCAGACATTGTGTGCGCTGACAACTGGACCATGGGCGGCATAACCATGACCGGCATATCCATGAGAAAGAACTGGTGCTTGAGCTGCGTATCCGTGACCTGCGTATCCATGAGCTACTTGAGCGCTGTAGGCGTGAGCTACAGGAGAAGCAGCGTAACCATGAGCTACTTGAGCGTTGTAGGCGTGAGCTACAGGGGCAACAGCGTAACCATGAGCTACAGGAGAGCTGTAGGAGTGAGCTACGGGACCAGCAGCGTAACCATGAGCTACGGGAGCAGCAGAGTAACCATGAGCTACTGAAGCAGTGTAAGCATGGGCTACTGGGGCGGAGTAAGCGTGAGCTACAGGGGCGGCAGCATAAGCTACTGGAGCGGCGACTTTAGCGACAACAGGGGCTACAGAATGGACGGATACATGAGCAGGTTCTTTGTGTACGACGGCGTTGAAACCGTTGTGGTCATCAGCGGTGTAGTCTACGGTACGTTTGGTTCCATCGGATTCCAAAAGGGAGTAGCTTCCTTGTACGACATCCCCGCGTCTTGATTCGTGTTGACTTTTGGAGTCACCGGTGTGGGGGTCGTTTACGGCGTAGCCGAAATCGTAGTGGGCTGGTGCTTCGGCTTCGGCGATGACGGTCTTGGTTACGGGTATGGCGTGGGCTACTGGAGCAGCGTAGGCGTGGGCTACGGGTGCGGAGTAGGCGTGGACAACGGGGGTTTGAGCTGCGTATGTGTGGACGGCTGGAGAGTGAGCTGCGTATGCGTGGACGGCTGGAGCGTGGTGTTGGACGGTGGAGTAGCTGGAGACGGAGTCGTGAGAGCCTACCAAGGCTGGGGCGGCGTAGCTAAGACCTCCAAAGTGGCCGGCGTGGGCTACGGCTACGAGAGCGGCGAATACTACGAACTAGAAAATATATAGTCTTAAAAAATTGTGTACAAATGGGACAAATGGGAGAAAAGTTATCTTACATTTAACAAAAAAATTATTATTTATAAAAAATTTGGAAATCTATAATCAAGAATGAAATTTATAGAATTCTAAAATTTTCTATACATATTTTGATATTGATTTTGGATTATTTATTGAATAAAATAAAACGAAACGTTTAAAAATAAATACAATAATTTAAACTTGAGCATATTTTTTAACTACTATGAACATTTTTAATCATTATTTTACTTTAGATGGAATTTAAAAGTAATTCACACATTAATAAAAATCAATATTTAAAAAAATGTATATATTTTTTGTGATATGTAAGACAAACTTTTTTACGATAAAGGAGAAAATAAACGAGGAAAATAGAATTTTTAAATTAAAATAAGCAAGAAAATCTACAATAGATGAAGACAGAAACAGTGACTAACAAGATAAATAAAGATATTTCATTTCTTATATAGATAAGGTAAAAAAAAATAAAATATTTTAGTATAGTTAAAAATTATAGTTGACATAAAGACAGACATCTATTTAGTGGTTTTTGAATTTTATTTTAATGTATTTGACGCCAGAAGGGATCGCAGACCATGTTATAATAATTAAAGTGTGAGAATATCAGTAAATCAGCAAGCATTCTTTTTATTTTAATATTTGAAGCCAATCTATTAAGGATAATAAAATTTAACAAAAGAATAGGGTTTTCGAATTTTTACATTAATATGTTTATTAAATTTAAGGTTGGACTCGTTGATTTAACAGATTTTTATAAGAATCATTTATTTTATTAATTAAAATTAATTTGATTAACTGTTGCTATAAAAGTATTTTAGGCATGCTTATTTAAAATAAACGCTATTAAAGAGATATCTTTTTTTTTTATTATTCCAATGAAAAAATCAAACAAGGGTGGAAAGAAAACTTGGGATGATACTGTGGTGGAATGTTTGAAGAATAAGAAAGTAATAAGGAATGAAGGAAAGCAAATTATAAAAAAAAATAGGAAATTATGAATAAAATTCATCTACACTAAACTATTGGGTATTTTCACAAAAATCACTTTTTAAAAAACAAAAAAACACTTTTTAAAAAACAAAAAACACTTTTTAAAAAACAAAAAACACTTACTTTGAATGCCATGTTTCTACTTGTCAGTGGAATTGATACATTTAGATCACCTCGTGTACTATTTATACGAAATCGGTTGCCTTTGTTATTGGTCCCACCCCGGAAACACACATATCTATATTTTTGGAACCTTTCACAATGTAAATATATCAAAATACATCCTGGCAAGGTCCGTGAAGGTCGTTTCGAAGAACTTGCTGGCCAGTTCCTGATGGCTAGCCAAAGAACAACCTAATAGGTGAACACTCGTTTTTTTTTTAGGAATTATATTAGTATAAAAAGGCAATTAAGCAGGTAATTAGGTAATTAAATTTATGTAGATTAATATTTTTAACGATTATACTTATATTTGTTTATTTAAATGATTAAAAATACATTCTTTCGTAGTTTGATTCACTTTTGGAATTCAGTTATTTAATTCTATTTTTAAGGTACTAGAAGCAAATAATAATTAAAAGAGTAGTTTATGAGGGATTATTCTAATATTTTAACATTGATTTTATGTATACCTAGCCGGATATGAAGGGTGGGCCAATTATTTGTAGCTAGGAGCATAGCAGCTAAACTAGAACATTTAAAAATAGTTTAAATTTAGTACTACTTCAAAGAAGCTATATTTATCAAACGAAGGAACCAGCAGTTTTCTTTTTTTTTTTAGTTTCCATATGCACTGAGTTCTTCTCTTGGTAATTTTTGAGATACAGGGTGTTAAAATTGTAAATTTTCCAAAATTTTAAAAATACTTTTTGACATAAACATTGTTAATTAGCTGAGATTCATAAATATTATGTTATAGTTGAATTCTATAAGATAATAATAGAGAACCAACCTTTTTGGAAAAAAACTATATAGGGAGAGTAATGTTTTAATTAAAAATAGAAAAACTGCATATAAAAAAAAATAATATAACTTCTAAAATAATAAATATAAATAAATTATTTATATATAGTTAAACAAGTGTGTATAAATAACATTTGATTATTATAGGAAATACACGTATACAGGGTAAGCCGTAAACTTGGTTCAGTGAGTGTCCTATTTTTAAAGGGTACAACGTTAGATAAAGTACAATTATACGAAAATTGCTCTTTTTTTTTTACAAAAAAGACAATAATATATTAAATCAAGTATAATTTTGATATAATAAGACAGCACTGCTAAAAAGCTTATTTTCACAACTTAATTCGTGTTCCTATGTTCCAAAATAATCAATAAATCGAAAAGAATCAATAATCGAAAAGAATCGATTATTTTTAAGTGATCGATTAATTGGAAATAACGATTATTTTAAATAATCGATGACTAATTATTATTTACTTTGATAATGGCCCAACCTTAGTTATAACCTAACGTTTTTAGCAATAATTTTTAGCAACACAATAATTAGATAGGAAGTTTTATAGAAAAAATTGGATTTTTATTTTTAATTTATAGAAATATACAAAAAAAAAAAAAATACGAAAACTAGCCAAAAAAGTTGAAATCTATCAAAAAAGTAGAAATCTAATAAATGAGGCAACGTTAGATCAAAATCCAAGACCCGACAAACTTCTCGGTAGAGCAGACTGTTGTTTGGACACTTAAAGTCCCATATTTACATATATTATTTAGGTATACTATACCATGCATTAGAGATGTTTAAAATAATCGTTATTTTCAATTAATCGATACAATATTCGATTAATAATTCTTTTCGATTAATCGAATAGTTTGGAACATAGAAACTCGAATTTCGTTGTGAAAATAGGCTTTTTAGCAGTTCTGTCTTATTATATCGAAATCTTAATTGATTTGACATATTATCTCTTTTGTAAAAAAAAATGGCAAATTTTTTATAATTGTAGTGTATATAACGTTCTACTCTCTTTGTGTATGATGTCCAAAGTAAATCTTTTTGTTGATGCGATGTTGTACTTCTTCGGGACACGTTACGATATACAGGGTATATTCTATAAAATTAGGGCATTCACTAAACCAACCTTTTGGCTCACCCCGTATACGTGTATTTTCTATAATAATAAAATGTTGTTTATACACACTTGTTTAACCATATATAAATAATATCTACTTTTAATTCAAACATTACTCTCCCTATATAGTTGTTTTCCAAAAAGGTTGGTACTCTATTTTGATAGTTACAATTATGATCTTATAAAATTAAACTGTAACTTATAATATTTATGAATATCAGCAAATTAACAATGTTTACGTCTTAAAGTATTTTTGAAATTTTGGAAAATTTTCAAGTTTTACACCCTGTATCTCAAACATTAGCAGTCGTGTTACCCTCTAACCAAGATCGTTTGTTGCATACAAACCAGAAATTTATCATTTAAATGACATTTTTTTATTGCCTTGTTTATATAATTTAGTATTTTCAAAAATATTAGATGTTATAGTAATTTGAATCACTATGGGTATTAAATAAAAATAAGGCTATTGGTAAATTAGTTTACAGTTGGTAATAAAGAATGTTTCGAAAAAGTCTCGAAATAAGTATCAAACAAATTGTGATTTTGATTAGGCACTTAACAAGTCACATCCCACATATCTACATGCTCTGGCTTATCAATCCTATAAGTACATATCAAAACATTAATATACTATCTACAATTAAACAATAATTTGAAAATACAGTCGATTTACCTATTTAAACAAAATTACTATTATTCTATTTATTAAAACACATTATTTTTCAGTAAACTTGGACATGCAAAAGCAGCCATGAGGGTAGGACATTAGTGAGTTCAAGAATACTTTGGAATGTGCTGTGAAATACACTTAAAAAAGGTCATATGGAGAATTAAGTGTGATAACATTTTACGATATGTATCTCACTAGTTTAGTTCACAGATTTCTGTGTTCAATTATGTGCTGTTATTTCAAACTTTTAGTATCCTTTGATAAAAGAAGTTGAATATTATTGTTGATATTTTTAAATTGTTTATTTTACCTAATACATTTTATTTTCTACTCTTCATACAGTATGTTGTGAAGAGTATTATAGATTTACTTTGTTTGTGTGTCCGATGTCATGTTTTTTGTCTGCACGATAAGTCAAAAACGAGAAATGATATCAATTTGAAAATTTTAAGCAAAAATCAAGCGCTATAAGGGAACAAAGCCTATTGATTTTTAACAAATCAGATTAAAAATAGGGGGATAAGATGGGTTGAAATTAAAAAAAAAAAATTCTAAATTAAAAACGAAAAGCGATATCAACATGAAATTTTTAGTAAAAATGAAGCTTTATAAGAAGATAAAGCCTATTGATACTGAAAAGAATATAAATATATTGGGGAGTTAAGGGAGGTTAAAATATAAAAAAAATCCTAACTGAAAAACGAAAAATGATATTAACTTAAATTTTTAGCAAACATTAATCTCTAAAAGAAGAAGAAGCCCTTTAATTATAAAAAAAATCTGATTAAATATGGAGGATTTAAGGGGGGTTGAAATTAAAAAAAAAAACAAAAAAAAGCGATATACCTAATCATGAAATTTTTTGTAAAAATCAAGCTCTATAAGGAGTTGAGGCCTATTGATTGTGTAAACAATCTATTTGAAAATAGGGGTTAAGGGGCTACTGCGAAGAGTATCATTTAGAATGCCAGGTATTATATATTTTTATGAGACTGATCTTATAAAATAAACATTTAAAACATTTTAGTTTTCTTTTAATTTGCCAATAAAAGGTATTTAAAAAATATATTTTTTATTTGACATCCTTGACAAATTGTGAAAATTATTAAACTTACAATAAAAACTAAAAAATGGTAGGTAAAGTTTCATATTAAATTTTTTACACAAAAATCAGTGTCAACCTTTCTACATAACCTAATATATATTTAAAAATAATCTCAAATTATGAAGAAAAGTCAGTTTACTAACTAATAATATTTATAGATGGTTTTTAACGTAATAAAAACAAAACAAATATTACACAAACTAAAATATTCATTTATTAATAGTCGTAGTGTTTGAAAACAGTATGATGTTGATAATAATAACTACACTTAATACAAACTCAAATAGTAAAAAAAACAGCGATATTGACTCTTGTACAAAGTTTTGATATGAACTTACAAATGATAAAATTATTGGAAAAAGTGAACACCCATTTAAAATTACCACAAGCCGCCACTGACTACGAAAGAATGTATTTTTAATCATTTAATTGAAAGAATATAAGTAAAATCATTAGATATATTTATCTACATAAATTTAATTACCTAACTACCTGCTTAATTACCTCTTTATACTCACATAATTCTTAAAAAAACGAGTGTTCACTTATTAGGTTTTTTTTTTGGCTAGCCATCAGTAACTGGCCATTAAGTTCTTCGAACCTTGCAAGGATGTATTTTGGTATATCTACATTGTGAAAGGTTCTAAAAATATAGATAAATGTTTCCGGGGTGGGACCAATAACAAAGCAACCGATTTCGTTTAAATAGTACACGAGGTGATCTAAATGTATCAATTCCACTGACAAGTAGAAACATGACTTTCAAAGTAAGTGTTTTTTGATTGTTAAAAAGTGATTTTTGTGAAAATACCCAATAGTTTATTGTAGATGAATTTTATTCATAATTTCTTACTTTTTTTTTTATAATTTGCTATCCTTCATTCCTTATTACTTTCTTATTCTTCAAATATTCCACCACAGTATCGCCAAGTATTCTTTCCACACTTCTTTAATTTTTTTCATTGGAATAAAAAATAAAATGATGATCTCTCTTTAATTGCCTTTATTTCAAATAAGCATACTTTGCAAATAAATGCATAAAATACTTTGGTAGCAACAGTTAATCAAATTGATTTTAATTATAAAAATCAATGATTCTTATAAAAATTTGATAAACATATTATTGCAAAAATTCAAAAAGCTTATTCTTGTGTTAAATTTTGTTATCCTTACAATAGATCGGCTACAAATGTTAAAATAAAGAGAATGATAGCTGATTTACTGATATTGTCACACTTTAATCATTGTGACATGGTCTACGATCTTGCATCAAATTGATAAAAATATAATTTAAAAAGCACAGATTAGATGTTTATATATCGACTATAATTTTTAAGTTTACTAAAATATTTTTAAAAAATTTACATTATCTATATAAGAAATTGAATATCTTTTTTTATCTTGTTAGTTACTGTTTTTGTATCCATCTATTATAGATTTTTTGTTTATTTTTATTTAAAAATTCTATTTTCTTTGTATTTTTTCTCATTTGTCGTAACAAAGTTTATCTTACATTTCACAAAAATAATTTTTTTGTATGAAAATATTGATTTATATTAATGTGTGAAATACTTTTAAATTCCAATCTGAAGCAAAATAATAATTAAAAATGCTTATAGTAACTAAAAAATATGCCCAAGTTTAAATTATTGTACTTGTTTTTAAGTGGTTTCGTTTTATTTTATTCAATAAATAATCCGAAATGCCAAAATATGTATAGGAAATTTTAGAATTTTGTAAATGTCATTCTTGATAACAGATTTCCAAACTTTTAATAAAGAATCATTTTTTTGTAAAATGTAAGATAACTTTTCTTCCATTTGTAAACAATTTTTTAAGACTATATATTTTTTAGTTCGTAGTCTTCGCCGCTCTCGTAGCCATTACCCACGCCGGCCACTTAGGAGGTCTCAGCTATGCCGCCCCAGCCTTGGTAGGCTCCCACGACTCCGTCTCCAGCTACTCCACCGTCCAACACCACGCTCCAGCCGTCCACACATACGCAGCTCAAACCCCCGTTGTTCACGCCTACTCCGCACCAGTAGCCCACGCCTACGCTGCTCCAGTAGCTCACGCCGTACCCGTAACCAAGACCGTCATCGCCGAAGCCGAAGCACCAGCCCACTACGATTTTGGCTACTCTGTAAGCGACCCCCACACCGGTGACTCCAAAAGCCAACATGAATCAAGACGCGGGGATGTCGTACAAGGAAGCTACTCCCTTTTGGAATCCGATGGAACCAAACGTACCGTAGACTACACCGCTGATGCACACAACGGTTTCAACGCCGTCGTTCACAAAGAACCTGCTCATGTAGCCGTCCATTCTGTAGCCCCCGTTGTCGCTAAGGTCGCCGCTCCTGTAGCTTACGCTGCCGTCCCTATAGCTCACGCCTACTCCGCCCCAGTAGCCCATGCTTACACTGCCTCAGTATCTCACGGTTACGCTGTTGCTCCTGTAGCTCACGCCTACAACGCTCCAGTAGCTCATGGTTACGCTGCTTCTCCTGTAGGTCAAGCCTACAGCGCTCAAGTAGCTCATGGATACGCAGGTCACGGATACGCAGCTCAAGCTCCAGTTCTTTCTCATGGATATGCCAGTCATGGTTATGCTGCCCATGGTCCAGTTGTCAGCGCACACAATGTCTGGTAAATGGTTTAGAACATGTTTGTAAATTTGTAAATACCTAATTTATGAAAAATATTCTAAGTAATAAAAAGTTGTTCAAAAAATTAAAATTTTAGTGTTACTCGGTGATTCTTTTTTAATATTACTACTAAACTATTGCAGCATTTCAAAAAAGGCATTAACGTATATATTCGCTATTATTGATTCGATTTGAAAGAAACAAACGGTATTTAACTTGAACAGATATTTAGCTGTCACTTATAATAAAAAAACATGAGCAGTAGTACTGCCAAGAAGGCATTAATCTCTATAAGTACTGTGTTGAATCACTAACATTGTTTATTGATATAGAAAGCAACTGATCCTTTTTTTCGAGATTTTATTTTTTAACCATTTTGGCCTAGGAATTTGTTATTTGATCTAATCGATCTAATTTTGACGTTTTATAGTAAATCGTTTAAGTGAAAGTGGATGTGTACTGCAATAGATAAATTCTGCAGTTATTGGATGGCACCTTTTTCAGTAATATTAATAGGAAATTCATCATATTTTCACGCTCTATATAAATTCATATTTTAAGAGTTAAATCGTTACTAAAAATAACACCGTGTATATAAATACAGTTTAACTTTTTCACTTGAATCGCGATTATGTTATTGATTTAACAATTATTATACAATACTTAAGGGAAACTTATGGGGCTCTTTCCAACGGGTAGGAGACTTTCCTGGCACGTGATTATCAGTAGTAACTCCAGACGCGAAGACTGCGACCGAAGATAATTAAAATAAATACGTCACCAGATAACGTGTATAGACGTCAAAAGAAACACCATAATACTCATTTAAAAATGTTTAATTTGTAAAGAAAACATTTATAAAAGAAGGTTTTATAAAAAAAATTATATAAAAAAAAGATAGGTATTGCATTCTTGTTACTGCATAAAATTTCTGAATTGAAACATAGTAACTATTACTAAATAAACATTATTTCTTATAATATGTACTCAGAAATTATAAATTAAAAAGATTATATAGCAGTGTCCAGATATTCAACAAATCATTCCTAGTATACAGGCTTGGAGCAGCTTTCTTATTAATATTATTATTATTGTTGTTTAGAACAGGCAAGCGACATAGTCGATGAAGCTGCTCTTTTTGTTAGTGGCAAAAATTATTCTAAATGACTACATGACAGTTAAAACCCAATACACTATAAACTATAATGAATAAAATTATTTTTTCTCTCTTCGAGTTCTATATCCACTCTTGCCTTGAACTGGTTTATGTTCTGGGCTGAGACTGTATGTTCCTGGAGACCATTCCACAGATATATAATTCTGTTTGTTACAAAATTTTTTCTTTTCACTTTTCTTTATCTAATTTCTTCGAGTGACCTCTCAAGGTTCTTGATGTGCTAGCCTGGTTTCCATATTGAATTTTTGTTTTATTGAAACAAAAATAAAATATACGTAGCTACCAGAAACTTAATTATTTAAATAAAATGTGAGCCAAAAAATAGAATTAGCTATGACCGACAAAGATAGATATATTATACATCGAAGTTCTAACATGTCGTATCCCGGGAAAATAAAACTTTACAGAAGACACATAAAAACAGGTGTGTTCGTACACAAAACATTATACCTACAACCTTTTCGAATTAATAAAAAATAAGGTGTCAGTTTAAATTTAACCTATTTAGACTTCTGAGCCTTTCGTAAGGTATTTTGCTCAAAACTATTTTCTCTACGTTCGCTCGCTAGGTGAATATAATGTCAAAGTACTGAATCACAGAAACACACAGAATCACACACACTGAATCACAGAAACAGCGATGCCAGTTTTTATTCAATTTCCAATATAACTTTTTTTGATGTTAAAATCGAAATAGGTATGGTTGGCATGGAACTATTTTAGAAAATGCAAATAATACTTATTTCAAAAACAATAACAAATAATAAGAGGATTGTCTCGAAAATACCTACGTCATTTGTTTTTGTGCACAATTTTTTAATTCGAACAGTAAGTATTGTAACTGTAAAATATATTTGTGGTGGTATGATGTTCCTTATCCCACAAATATCTTCGTTTGAATATTGATATTATTAATTGATGGACGTACAAATTAATATTTTTTTATTTTTGACAATATTCTAATCTTTTACAATTATTTTTTTATGAATCTATAGTTACCACATATAATGACTAAACTCTAACTATACATTGTAACTAAAAGTCTAACATGCTACATATTAACCCCCTCTTCAGTGACAACGACAAAAACATTTAGTTAATGGAAAAGGTTACGGAATTGTTTAGGTTCTGTTTCTTAGTTTCTTTATTAGGTGAGTCTAAATAAGCAGGTTTAACTGTGTCTATAGAGATTGCCTGTTCTTTGCCATATTTTTCAATAAAAAAGGTTTTTCCTGAACGTCGTAGGACTTTGAAAGGTCCTTCGTATGGTTGTTGCAAACTAGAAGTTTTTCTTGGAACTTCCATGAATACGTACTCGCAACTTTTGTCTAAACGCACACACCACCCATAAGAAAATTATTTGAATAAACGCACACACCATTTACTTCGAATCCGTCGGCGGAAGCACGTCTTGAAGAAGCCGGCTCATCTTACAATTGATTTCGCTTCGTGTTATTGGCCTTGCTTTGCCGCGAAAGTAGTCAGTCTGTTTGGACACCTGAAATACGTTCGAGAGGCAGCTATTTTTACGTCGCCTTACGCATATTACAATTAGCGTAATCGACATGTGAGGAAAATAGTAGACTTCACATTAGAACTCAGTCGGTATTACAGACTTAAATAATTTTCACAAAAGTGTAAAACGACATGTAAATAGCAAATCTCATATAAAAAAACATTCGGTACCTATCGCATTGAACATAGTTTGGACAATCATTTAAAAATAAGCAACAAAATTCACAATGAAAGGGTAAAAAAAATAGGGACGTCTTACAACGATTAATAGATGTGACTTGTTTCCTGGGAGAGCATGAACTAAGTTTTAGGGGTCACAATGAAGCAAGTGGATCCGCCAATCGAGGAAATTACATGGACCTTCTAAGTTTTTTAGCAAAATACGATGATACCCTAAAAAATCATTTTATTGATTCGACGACTTTCCGAGGTACCTCAAACAGAATTCAAAATGATTTAATTAAATGCACTGCCGACGTTGTGATGGATCACATTAAAAGTGAAATTAAAAAAGCACCTTTCGTATCAATTGCGCTTGATGAAACCACAGATGTAGCAAACTTAAGTCAATTATACATTGTTGTGCGATATGTATTGGATGGTATTCCTCAAGAGCGATTCTTAGGATTTTTGGACGTCACTAGCGAACGAACTGCAGATGCATTGTTTAAAATTGTTTGTGTTATTATTTCAAGTTTAGAATGTGGTTCTAAGCTTGTTGCCCAGAGCTACGATGGTGCTGCCGTAATGGCTGGCCATTAAGGAGGCCTTCAAGCTAAAGTGAAAGAGAAGTTTATACACGCAATTTTCGTTTACTGTATAGCACATAGACTTAGTTTAGTTTTATCGCGAAGCATGGATAATATTAGAGATTGCAAAGTTTTCTTTTCGATGCTTAGTGCTTCGATGCTTCAAAGTCATCGAAAAGAACTCACGCTTTGGACATTCACGTTCAAAAAAGGTTTCCAAAAGTTGATCCGACGCGATGGAACCACAATGGACGTTTAGTGCAAACAGTGTTTCAATACCGTGATTCTTTGATACACTTTTTTTAAAGAGTTTGGGATAATAAAGAAACATGGGATGCTTAAACTGTTACTGCCGCTAAAGGGTATTTGCATTGGCTCAAACAAAACTTTGATTTCAATTTTTTGCTTTACATTTTTTGCAGAGATTTTCCCTTTTACTGAAATTTTATTCGACATGTTACAGACAAAGTCGAATGACATTGGCTTTTGCATTAAACAAATTGATGATTTTAAAAATAAAATGAATAAAAAACTAAACCCTTTTGGAATAAGACTCAAAACATTGGCTTAGGACCTGAAAGAGAATTAGAATTGATAATGTTGGCGACAGAGAGACCTACTATCGTCGATTATATGCCGAAATTATTGATAATATTTTACAACAAATGAACTCTCGATTTCAAAACTTTAACGAATTAAAATTTGTTGAATTTTGCAATTTTAATATTAGTAACTTCGATTCATCAAAATTTCCATCGGAAGCTTTTAATTAACTAAAATTAAATTACGGAATTTTTTCGATATTCCAGCATTAAAAACCCAATTAAGTGTTGTTTATGAAACAACTGAAATTGGTGATAAAAAGACGCCCATCAATTTGTTAAATTTTCTTATAACAGCTGGTTTAAATAAGTCCCTTTGTGAAGTCGTCAAGTTGTGTGAATTAGTACTAACCATTCCAGTCACAAGTGCGTCAGTTGAGCGAAGTTTTTCAGCTTTAAAGTGCACTAAAAGTTTTATACGAAATTCAACAAGTGAAGACAGACTCTCAAATTTAGCCCTAATATCCATTGAAAAACAGCTTTTTAAACAGTTATCAGAAAATCCAAAATTTTACGATGATGTTATAGATAAATTTGCAGCCATTGAGGATAGGCGAATAGAACTTAAGTATAATTAAATGTCAACTGCTGTGTCAACTGTGCGAAAAATGCTGATAAAAATAAAAAAAAACTCCAGTAAAATGTTTTTTTTACGTTTAAATAAACCAAGGAAGCTTTACAATGGTAAGTTTTTTTATAGCTTCTAGTACTAAACTAGGCAATAAAGTAATAGTAACACTTTAAAAATCTCAATCTCGGATATCCGTAGTACTGAGGAAAAAAAAGCAAGATTTTGACAAAATGGTGAATGCGCCGCGAAAATTTTTGCCTGTGGCACTATGCTTAATGGCCTGGTGTATTTTTATATAATCGCTTCTCCTTCGAAAAATGTTACCGCCCGCCACTGGTAACGAGTGACTTTTTTAAAATAATAGGATTTTCTGAGCCTGAAATTCAAAGGT